GAGGAGTCGTTGGACCATTTAACTGAAAGGAGAGGTGATACACAGCTTGATTGACCCTTGACCATAATGAAAGCTTGAAGATAAAGATCACCAGGCTTCAAAGAATGACAATAGCTTTCCCACCACCTTTCTAAAAAAAAAAGAAGTGGACTATTCTCCCAAAGAATTTCTTAGTATTCTGACACAAGGATCGATGCTCTTTTGGCATATTATGCGAACTAAGAATCGAAAATAGCTATGTTCAAGTGACATAATGAAGATACAAATGAATAGAAATAGAAAGAGAAAGATATTAATGAAACATAGCTATTCTTCCCACCAAGAAAAGATTAAGGTAATCTTGTTACTCCACAGGCCTGGAACCAGAATCACACCTTGGGGAACCGATACGAAATATCGTCTGCAGGTTTCTTCCTCTTGTACCCATACTCTAGTCAGTTCATATTACGCTTTCTTAAGAGGAAGAGCACTAGTAAGCCAAAATTTGCGAACGAGAATGAGTGCATGCTGCGCTACACCCCTATCCCGTCTTTCCTTACTATGAGTCCCGTCACTTTCCTCGTCCCTCAATCTGAACTTATGATGGAACTCTTCTCATCCGAGAGACTCCCTGAGGAGCCTGGTAGCCCTACACAAAGAAGCTTAAAATTGCTAACTATTTTTAGCGCTTCACATTACTTAAAGAGAGTAACAAGGTTGGTGCCTAAAAGCCTTATATACACAAGTTTGAATTGGAATTTACCATAATTTCTATTGAAAGTAATAAGTATGACACTGTCATTGCCGAGTCCCAAACCTCAAATGTGAAAAGTAAAGGGTTGCGTTAGGTAGGCGACATCTTGCGTAAAATTTATCAAAAAATCATGACATAAATCTTTTTGATTATTGTGTAAATGCTATGGCATAATTTGGAAACAACATACTGTATGACCTGAACATAGTGAAAAGTGTGCAAGGGCCGCTACACCGACACCCTGGTGTAGTGTCAAATAAGCTAAGATTTCAACATTACAGACGGATGCGGGTAAAGTAGTTAGTCTATGAAACTAATATTAGCACAAGATATTGGAATATAGACATTCTTATAGGTAAATTAATGAAATTAGTTGATATTATGATTCATAAAAAGATAAGTGTCTTATGTATTCAAAAAACTAAATGAGTTGGAGAAAATGTTAAGGAGATTGATAACTTAGGTTTTAAACATTGGTATTTAGGTAAGTGTCGTACTAGAAATGGTGTAGGTGTAATCATAGATAACAAGTTGAAAGACAAGTTGAAAGATAATGTTGTAAAAATTAATATAATTGGAGATTGAATTATCGCCGATTTATTGCCCTTAAGATTATTGTTGATACTAAGATTTTTAATATTATAAGTGCTTATGCTCTCAAATAGGTTCAGATATAGGTTCTAAAGAAAAATTCTGGAATGACCTAGAAGACTTAATACAAATGATACATCTTGAAGAAAGAATTTTTGTTGGAGAAGTTTTAAATGGACATGTCGGTAGAGTGGTAGAAAATTTTAGAAATATTCATGGTGGCTATTGTTTTGAAGTGATTAATGAATAAGGTAGATACATTCAGATTATGTTGTAGCATATGATTTTATTATTATAAATATTTTATTGAAAGAAAAGAGATGAACATATTATTAGTAGTAAGAATAGATCTAATAAAACACAAATTGATTATTTTCTTATGAGAGAAGAGATCATCAATAATTTAAAGATTGTAAGTTTATTCCAAGTGAGGATATAAGTAATTAATATCGATTACTAGTTTTAGATTTTAAAATGACGAGTTGTAAAATAAATAATACTAGAAATCTTTGTCATAGAATTAGTCGTGGGCATCTAAAAGACATAAATAAAATTATTTTTATGAGTAAACTTCAAGATTTCAAGATTTGGGTTGTTTATGAAGAAACAAAATCTATGTGAGATAAAATAACAAACATTATTAAATAAGTCACAAAAGCTGTATTTGGAGAATCAAAATAAAAAAGTTTCTATAAACTAAAATAATTGGTCGTGAAATAATAATGTGCAAGAAAAGATAAAATAAAAGAAATTATGTTATAAAAATTAGTTAAAATGTAAAAGCTTGAGAAAAATATAAAATGACCCGTAGGGAGTTTAAGAGAACAATCTGTGACGCTAAAAATTCAGATTTTAGTAATTTTTATAATAGATTAGATATTAAAGATTATGAAAAATAAATGTATAAACTAGCTAAGCAAAAAAAATAAAAAATAAAAATTTAGCTCAAGTAAAGTGTATTAAAGATAAAAACTAAAAAAGTGTTTTTCTTAGAAAAAGATATTCAACATAGGTGGGTGAGTTATTTTGATAAACTTTTTAATGAAGTTTATGAAAATATGATCGTTCTTAGTGATTTTAATGTCGTTAATAATAATAAAATGTTTCATTTTTTTCACCCCATTAGTGAAAAAGAACTTGAGGAGACTATAAAGAAAACTTGATGTGGAAAGTCTGTAGGACTTGATGATATCTCAATTGAAGTGTGGAAATATTTAGGAGATTTGAGATTTTCTTGGCTCACTAAACTCTTTTATATTATTTTTAAAACCAGAAAGATGTCTGAGGAGTAAAAGAAGAGTATTTTGGTCCCATTTTTAAGAATAAAGCGAATGCACAAGAGCGTACAAATTATAGAGGAATTAAGTTGATGTGTCATACTTCAAAATTATGGGAGAGGGTAATTGAACATAGGTTAAGACGTATTACAAAGATTTCTTATATTCAGTTTGGATTTATGTCAGACAGGTCTATTATGGAAGCTATTTTTTTATTGAAACTTTTAATGGAGAAGTATAGAGAGAATAAGGAGGATCTAAATATGATTTTTCTTGATTTAGAAAAAGCGTACGATAAGGTTCCAAGAGATTTCCTTTGGAGAGTTTTAGAGAAGAAATAGAGAAGAAAGGTGTTGATTCAAATAGAAGGAGGATTGACCTATTCAAGTCATTAAAGATATGTATACTAGAGCTATTACTTGTGTTTGAACAGGAGGTTTGACCAAATATTCTCCTATTTCAGTTAGTTATGGATGCTCTTACTGAACATTTACAGGAGGATGTGCCTTTGTGGATGCTTTTCGCTACAAGAGAAAAAGCTCAAGGAAAAATTGAATTATGGAGGTCTACATTGGAGTCTAAAGGCCTTCGTTTGAGTAGAACTAAAACTGAATACATGAAATGTAATTTTAATAGTAGTAGCTCTAATGACAGAATTGTAACTATGAGTGATCATATTATTAATAGGTGTGAACGCTTTAGATATCTCGGGTCTATCATTCAAAGTGATAGTGATATAGATGGGGATGCTATTAGTAGAATTCAAGTTGGTTTGTTGAAGTGGAGGAATGCTTCAAGCCTATTGTATGATAGAAAAGTACTGCTTAGACTGAAAGGAAAATTTTATGAGATGGTGGTGAAACCTGCAATGCTCTATGGCTTTGAATGTTGGTCTTTAAAAGAGAAACATAAAACTAAGTTAAGTGTTGCCGAGATGAGAATTCTTGGGTGGATGAGTGGCTTTACTCAGAGACAAAATACGAGCTGAATATATCTGTGAAAGGGTTAATGTAGCTCCAGTGACAAACAAAAATATAGAGAGCCGTCTTAGATGATTTGGTAACATTAAACGTCGAACATCTGATGATCTGGTTAGAAGAGTAGATGTTTTAGATTCGACTTATGTTAAGAAGTGCAGAGGTAAACCTAGAAAGACTTGGGCATATTGATCTTTATTTATTAGAATTAAATGAAAATATGACACTCAATAGAATGCAATGGAGAAAAATGATCCGGCCCTACTAAGTGGGATAAAGGCTTGTTGATGTTGTTGTTGTTGTATTGAACGTAATAAATATAAGTTTTAATGTCAATGGCTTCTTTCGTTTGAATTAATTATTTTAACCCTAAATCTATGCTGTATATTTGGCTTGCTTTAGAAATCCTTGACCTTAAATTGTTCTGTATCAAACTCATGTTCTATGAAATGCAAGGCATGGACTCCATTTGACTTCGAGCAACTTAATCTCTAATTATTGCCTGTGTCTTACATTAATTATCTCTAATAACTTCCTAACCACAATTTTGTTGATTTATATAATATAATATTAGTAGTACATAAACAAAAAATGAGATGAAATAGCTAGGACAAATGTGACTAAAAATGTAGAAAATTTGATCAAGTTTGTTGCATTAAAAGTGAAGATAATATGATCTTATTTAAAGATGAAGATGTCAAGGAATGATGGACATGCTATTTTGAGAAATTATTACATTAGAATTAACAAAAAAATATTTTGAAAGCGAATAATGGTCAACATAATGAGGTATATTATAGATTAATCTAAAAAAATAAAGTTTGGTTAACTATGTCATAACAATAAGATTTTTTTCATTCGGAATATTGAGTAAGCATCATGCTGGATAAAATCAAAGAGGTTTATTTTAGGATGTATCTATCATAGTATTTGATAACATTGATTATGACAAATTAGAGAGAAGGTTGAAGAATCACGGAGTTCTCCTCGGCATTAAGTGTCTTTCTACCGGCTTTGAAATTCTATAGATCATACTTAAGGTTGGAAAATCATTTGCAATTGCACAGGCGTCTGAAGTCATTTTTCATATGAGACTCCTAAAACTCGTGCCTTTCTTCTCAAGCAATCCTATTCTAGGATTTAAAGCTTATCAGCTAGTTTTTAAATCATCTTCTCTGTCTTCAGTCACCAATACAAAATCTGAAATCAGGGCTTTTTTTGTTAAATATATTATTTAGTTAGAATAAGCTGTATGAACCTGCTTTAAAGAATTGCCATTTGTATTTAAAACACTACTGATGCACCACTGAAAAAAAGAGAGAGAAAAAGCAGACTGAAGAAGGCTGTCTTTTGTTTGTGGGAGGATCTATGTGTTTGCATGTGTTTAAAAAGGAGCAGTCATTTCAGGCTTATTTTTATCAGTATCTGCTTTCTCTGCAGGTGTTTCTTGCTGCGGCTTCTGGATAATTGATAACTTATTCCGCTCTTTATTTGAGGGCAACAAACTATTGTTGTCAAAATCTGAGTTTTAGTAAAAAAAAAATTATTGTAATGAAATCTGGCAGAAAGAACCTCAGAAAGGCTTCTGTAGAAGATGGCATTTCTCTTCAAGAAGGCCAAAGCATCATGCAGGTTGTGTCACTTCGGGGATCCAATGTAATTGAGGCATGTCCTTTTATTTTTGTTAAACTTCTGTTTCTTGTTCATTTTATTTATTGGCACCTAAGTTTCCAGTCTAAGTACTTTGTTTTTGGGAGGCTGTACTAGTTTGTCTTTGAAACCATGATAGTGAAGACTAAAAAATGAACTACGATGATAGAAGGAAATAATGTATTTTCTTAATGTCGCCACAATCAACTTAGTTGCTAATGACTTTTTAATTATTCAAGGCCATGATTTATATAGTAACAAGTCTATTTACATCATTAAAAAGTTTTACTTTTATTTGATAGTGTTTTTTTTTCCTACGAAGTGCTCTTGTGGTAGCTAGATTTAATTTTAGAATTCATGTCGTTATTATTCGCATTCCATCAAATAATATAGATCAAAACTAGTTATCACACGTAGATATCACTTTATCTTCCAACATAATTAGACGATACAAAAGGACTAGAATTGCATATCGTAGATTCAATCTTTTTTATTGATTTGAGCCTCTTATCCTCTCTAAATTCTTTCCACTACTGTAACATGTTAATAAACATTTTACTTTTAAGAATTTTCATCCATCAATATTTTCATCAGTAAATAACATGCGCCAGGGTATCTCACTTTTAATTATTTTTATAAATAATTCTTCACCCACCCACTAAATTTTGTTGCTATTTATGTTCTACTTTAAACTATCTTCACATTTCAATGAAAATTTTGTCAATGCAATCAAGAAAAATAGAATTGTTTCAAATTCATATTTGTGACTGTCTCTTTTAACATCGTTTGAATTTAACAGCTCCAAAAATTTTAAGTTGCATCATCCTATCATAAAAAAAAACATTTCTATTAACTCTTATATATTTTAGATGTACATTCAAATCTAGCACTTTATATATTTGTGTGATCACGCTTTCTTAGGATTTGTTTGTTTTGTTGAAAAGTGAATGCAGTGTAAAAGTAATTTAGTGTAATTGAAACATAGTGTATTTAGAATATTTTAGGGTTATTTAACAAATGCATGCGTTTACCTTTTTTTTTTTTGTTTGGTTTGAAGAAAAATAAAATCAATATAAAACATAGGGGTGGGTGGCGGCGGAGGCGTGTTGGCAATGATGACAACGACCATATGTGGTGGCGGCGACAGGCGACAACCGATGGATGTGGCGGGCGATTCATAATGCTTCTCTTTGTAGTTTATATGTAATTTACTCAAAATTGGGTGAATCTCAAATACATTGAAAATGAATTATATGATGAATCCTAATTACTTTAGTATTTACTATGCATTCCGTTTTTCTCAAACCAAACACCCAATTTTTCAAAATGGATGTATTTCTTTTATTGATGCCCATTTTTCACCAAACAACCCCTTAATTTCATTTAAATTTTTGCATAGTAATTTATAATTGTTTTTAGGTGAAAGTATTTGTCGTGAATCAGTTGCTTCATTGAAGGTAACCTGGTGCTTTATTCATCCCTTCACTTATTTGTTCACTATTGCAACATTATTTACTTCTGTGAATAAAAAAAATTGTTTTCTTAATCATAATTCTCCATCCTATTGTTGACCGTGACATCTACTGCACAGCATGAGTCAATCAGATGTGATGAGAGTAGCGAACGATTAATGTGAATCACAAGATTACGCGTGAAGTGCCTCGATGTCTGCCATAATTGAACCAAACAATACCCATTTATAACATGGACTTCGTTGTTTCATTCAAAGCATCAAAATTACCTAAAGAGGGGTCTTCATGATCTAAAGAAGACGCAAACTATAGATTATTTGTGCGATGCATGTGATTTAGACCCAATCACCTAAATCACTTTGACTTTAGTCGAAGTTGTTGAAATGATGTCTGATCGCAAAATGGATCACACGAGAGCCTCCATAATGCCAAAAGTTGCCTAAAGAGTCTTCTTCGATCAAAAGATGCAAGGTGAAATCAGCGGACCGTCAGTGTGATGTGATAGTTGGACCCAAATTGTCTCGATCGTCACGAAAGTTACTCAAACGACCTCTGGTCACAAAGCGGACAATACAAGCGTGTATGGAACGTTAAATTGGCATAAGGAGGACATCCATATTATCGGCCTTATGTATACAAGTTAGTAACACGTAAAATGAGATGTTTAAAAAAAAGATAATACAAAATAATAAAACATCCCAATTACTTCCTGCTCAGGTCCATTGCCCAATCCATTGTTATTCGCACACCTCCACTGTTTTTCACCCAATCAAAGGATAGGAAGTAAATAAAAAAAAATTATAAAATTATTTTAACTTATTATTCAACCCATCATTCTCTCACTTTTCATGCCAAAGACCTCCCATACAACTCTTTCCTCTCTCTCTCTCTCATTCTCTTGGCAAAAGAAGGAAGCTGCATGACCTAATCTCCATTACTCGCCATCCGTCTAATCTTAGTCACCAATGACTGTTTCAAGCTCTACCCACATACACACAACACTCCTTGCCGCAGGGCGCTTCTGCCTCAGATGTGACAAATTCGTGGATTCGACAAAAATTGTGATGTTTCGGTTTGATCCAAGCCGGTACGATCCAATGAGGGACAGACCGATCCTTCAAAGCATGGAGTTTCCTCCTATTCAGAGTGGGACCCACTCACATTTACCCTAAGTGTGTGTGTATAGACACACATAGGGTGCATATATTTTTATAAAGCATTTTTGTGTGTTTAAAAAGCATCCCGTTTTTCATGTCTTCGACTTACCCGTTCGTCACAACCTTCCCTCCATTGCCACCATTCTTCCTTCCCACTGCAGCCGCCAAATAGCTGTTCTTGGCTGTTTTTCCTGCAGTCCAGTTGCCCAACCACCTATTTTCCTTCATTGCCGCACACCCTTTCCCTTGCTGACGTCCACCGGAAAACAGTAAGCCTGCTAATCTCCAAGCTCTTCCAGCCGCTCCTTACCATTTGACTTGCCGCCATCTTTCAGAATCTGCACCCATACCCTTCCCTCTTACTGCGGCATCCCAGAAAGACATGACATGCCAATATCTACTGTGTGCTTGCTGTACAATATAATTGGAAGTTCAATATATGTGCTTCTGATGACCAAAGACTTTGAAATTTCCATCATGATCCTTAACATTGGGAATTGCCTCACACAGGCCTTGTTGTTTTAAAATATTCACTCTAGTTGTAGTAACATGTATCCTTGCTCAAATTTTGTCAGTTGCTAGAATTTTTTAACCTTGTTGTTTAATTTGGGCTAATTAATCATCTTAGGCATGCCTATATTTTTTTTGAGTCTAATATACCAAAATGTAATTTGGAATCCCTACAAGGAAGATGGGAGTGAGAAGCAAGAGAGCTAGTGGCTTGTATTTACTGTTGCTAAAGGCAAGTTGGCTTGAGCACTTCAAATGAGTACATAATTCTTCATATTTCTCTCATGATGGTATTGTGTCCAAGGCATGTCTAGGCGAGTGACTTATCTTGAGGCACTAAGTAATGATCTGAGCAGCTTACGTTGATTCTAGAGATGAATTTTAATAGTTGAATTACAAAACATGGATAAATTTATGTGATGATAATTTGAAATGAGATGATATAAAAAGAGTAGTATGAGTTGAAGAAACAGAAATGGGCCTTGAAAATGAGTTGATCAAATGTAGATGCAGGAACTTAACCTCTACAGTAGTAAATCTTAAAGATAAAGAAGGCTAGCCTAATCAAATAGAAGGAATGGATGAATGATAGAGTAGAGAACATGGATGATCATGAAAATGTAGTAAAGATTAGACTATCATTCATATACCCTATGCACTTAAGCATCTTATTTGTATTTTTTTTATTTAAACCATGTATTTAAATCTTCAAGTTTGGAACAAAATTGAACTAAAAGCTCACTATTTTCTCTGGCATAACTTAATGTTATGATTATAATTTTATACCAACAACAACAACAACAACAACAACAAAGCCTTAATCCCACTACATGGGGTCGGCTACATGAATCCTTTTTCTCCATTGCGTCCTATTTAGTGTCATATTTTCATTTAGTTCTAGTAAATTAAGATCATTTTTAATACAATAAGCCCAAGTCTTCCTAGGTCTACCTCTGCCTTTCTTAACACAAGTCGAATTTAAAACATCTACTCTCCTAATCGGATCATCTAATGGTCGACGTTTAATATGACCAAACCATCTAAGACGACTTTCTCTAATTTTGTCTGTCACAGGAGCTACACCAACCCTATCACGAATATATTCATTCCGCATTTTGTCTCTAAGTGTAAAGCCACTCATCCGCCTAATCATTCTCATCTCGGCAACACTTAACTTATTATTATGCTTCTCTTTTAAAGGCCAACATTCATAATTTTTATACCTAAAAGCTAAATATTTAATAAAATTAAATTTAGAATGAATATGATTATTGATTTTTTTATCTTCCGCTCTACCCTAGCAAGTGCCTATTGTAATGGCTAATGCCCTAACTGATAGGCAACAATATCATATTGAGACAACATGTTTTTGTCAATATTGTTGGTAATTACTCTACCAACCACATATCTTCAGTGGATTGCTGTAGAAAGGAGAAGTTGTTGTGATCGCTAGCTTCCTCTAGAGAGGTTTTGGTAATGTGCTGGACCTAGGTGAAAGACATTAAGGGTCCGTTTGAGGGCGCTTATCGGAAGCGGCGGCGTTTTGAAAACGCCGCCCTTTCGTTTGAAAATAACGTTCGCATTGAACGTTTTGAAAACGCCTCGTTTTCTTATCTCGATTTCCTTAAGGGAGCGTAATCCGGCCAGGACCTCCGTTCCGCGTATGCTTCTCGCGTTTAGGTTATTTTTCCCGTGTTGTCCTTCCCGTCTCTCCCCTTTGCCCTCGCCCTTCCCGTCTCGCCTTCGGTTTCGACCTCGCCCGAAGCTTAACGAGGCTGTGATCCGTGATATGAGGTATTTTTTTTGACCTCACACTCTCGCCCTACCCAATATCCGTCTCCTTCCTTCCCGGAGGCCGTATTCGATCTCTCTCACAGTAATTTCTGTTCATATGGTCGTTATAAATGAAACATTGGAATTTTTTGATGCAGAATGTTTAGTGAGGATTCTTCTCATTTGTACAAATTTTCATGCTTGAGATTTTTTACCATTTTTATTGCGGTTGAAATGATAAGAAAGATCCTGCCGAGGAAACTTTGGTATCTGCGGGCTGTGTTGGTGAATTGATAACTTTGTTAAGTTTAGACTTCAATTGATATTGTTTCCATTAGAAAATTGGAAAATTTACACACCTAGCACCAGTTCTGTTGTTTACACACATAATACTTTTAAGGTCTGGGGCCTTCTTGATTCACATATCTTTGAGCTTTATTATTTTTGAAGGGGCATTTGCATATTTTTGAAGGCAATTTGGGGCCTTCTTTATTTATCTTTGAATGCAGATTGTTTCGTTATTTTTGAAGGGGCATTTGCATATTTTTGAAGGCAATTTGGGGCCTTCTTTATTTATCTTTGAATGCAGATTGTTTCGTTATTTTTGAAGGGGCATTTGCATATTTTTGAAGGCAATTTGGGGCCTTCTTTATTTATCTTTGAATGCAGATTGTTTCGTTATTTTTGAAGGGGCATTTGCATATTTTTGAAGGCAATTTGGGGCCTTCTTTATTTATCTTTGAATGCAGATTGTTTCGTTATTTTTGAAGGGGCATTTGCATATTTTTGAAGGCAATTTGGGGCCTTCTTTATTTATCTTTGAATGCAGATTGTTTCGTTATTTTTGAAGGGGCATTTGCATATTTTTGAAGGCAATTTGGGGCCTTCTTTATTTATCTTTGAATGCAGATTGTTTCGTTATTTTTGAAGGGGCATTTGCATATTTTTGAAGGCAATTTGGGGCCTTCTTTATTTATCTTTGAATGCAGATTGTTTCGTTATTTTTGAAGGGGCATTTGCATATTTTTGAAGGCAATTTGGGGCCTTCTTTATTTATCTTTGAATGCAGATTGTTTCGTTATTTTTGAAGGGGCATTTGCATATTTTTGAAGGCAATTTGGGGCCTTCTTTATTTATCTTTGAATGCAGATTGTTTCGTTATTTTTGAAGGGGCATTTGCATATTTTTGAAGGCAATTTGGGGCCTTCTTTATTTATCTTTGAATGCAGATTGTTTCGTTATTTTTGAAGGGGCATTTGCATACAGATCACATAATTCTTATGTATTTACTTTTTCACCTTAAGTGATCATTTTGGGCTCTGTTGGATCCCTTTTCTCACCATCTAAGCATAAACTTGAATGTTTAGGGAATGAGAATGGTTATAGAATTGGGGAGCTGAAAATTTTAGAGGAGCTATGGAAAATTCTTTTTTCTGTTTTTCTTTCCTACACGAAATGCTGAATGAAGTTATGATTTGGGACTTCATTCTTGAGCTTTATTATTCTTATTGCTCCCCAAATCAATGCTGAAAGTTATTTGTTCATTTGTTGAGCTCAGTTTTGGTCCCTACAGGGCTGAATTTCGGTTTTGGTTAAGCTTTTGCAGTTTTCATTCAAACTGAGGGAGCTCTGTGTATATTTAACTGTTTTTTTTTACCTTAAGTGATCATTTGAGGCTCTGTTGGATCCCTTTTCTCACCATCTAAGCATAAACTTGAATGTTTAGAGAAATGAGAATGGTTATAGAATTGGGGAGCTGAAGCACATTAGAGGAGGTATGGAAAATTCTTTTTTCTGTTTTTCTTTCCTACATGAAATGCTGAATGAAGTTATGATTTGAGACTTCATTCTTGAGCTTTATTACTCTTATTGCTCCCCAAATCAATGCTGAAAGTTATTTGTTCATTTGTTGGGCTCGGTTTTGGTCCCTACAGGGCTGGATTTCGGTTTTGGTTAAGCTTTTGTAGTTTTCATTCAAACTGAGGGAGATCTGTGTATATTTAACTATTTTTTTTTCACCTTAAGTGATCATTTGAGGCCCTGTTGGATCCCTTTTCTCACCATCTAAGCATAAACTTGAATGTTTAGAGAAATGAGAATGATTATAGAATTGGGGAGCTGAAGCACATCAGAGGAGCTATGGAAAATTCTTTTTTCTGCTTTTGCAATTTAGTTCTACTTTAGTTGAATGACCTCTTCAGTTGCTAACTATGATGAACAGAATTGTATTGGAGCAATTGATGACACCAATTGATGTATTGGAGCAATTGATGACACTCATGTAGATGTCAGACTACCAAGTCACGAGAAGATCACATATATTGGTCGGAGTGGTACAACCACCCAAAATGTCATGGCAGTGTGTGACTTCAACATGTGCTTCACATTTGTAATGGCTGGGTGGGAAGGAAGTGCGCATGATAGTCGCCTTTTCTCCTATGCAACTAGGAATAAAACACAGTGTTTCCCTCACCCACCTCCAGGTTTGTTCATCTTACTTAAAACCTCTCGATAATTACATTAATTATTTTTAATTAGTATTGTCTTTAATAACAGGAAAGTATTATTTGGTAGACGCT